GACCAGAATCGAACCTGGGACCTTTCAGTCCGCAGGCTGACGCTCTATCTACTGAACCAAACCGGTTACGGCTAATTAATCTCCTTTTAATGTGCATGAATTTCATGCACTGGGCCACTAGTTTTACTATAAACTAATTGAGTTAGTCATGAACATAAAGGTTATGTGTTTGTGTGTGCATATAACTTAGTATACAGTACTATCTTATGTAATACGTATAATATGCAAATTGTTCCCTTGGGTGGTCATTCAATTGGGAGTTCAGCTGCTTGCTATGACGTGCATTGACCACCAGGGGGAGGCACAGAACATGGCAGGCATCGGCAATGCATTGCGACCTCTCACCGGCTACCTGGGGGCCTGGGTGATGGGGATGGAGGTGCGGTGAGAATGTGGGGTGTTTGCTGAGCTCGCTCTCACTCCCCCTGCTACCCTCCCCTGGAACACCAGAGCTTGCACACTGGGGAAGCCCCCATACACAGGTGCTGGGCACCCGCAAGGAGCCTGCCCCATACCTGCATGGCGTCTTCCGGGTGAGCCGGGCTGTAGCCGCCAGGACTGCAGGGGCCAGTCGGACTCCCCATGGATTCACACAGGAGCTGGTCTGTGAATCCAGCCGGGAGAGAGTGTGCTGCCCAACCAGCTTCTGTGTGGTACTGCTCGGTGGCCCAGAGGCCCATGCTGAGACCTGGCTCACGGCATCCAGCCGCGCTCACCACATCTCCACATGGGGACTCAGGCGCCATGACTCAGGCAGAGGGTGGCGCACAGGGGCCCTGGGGCCCAGGTGCTGCCCAGGGCCAAGAGGTCAGCTGGGACCTGCCCTTCCATGCCAGACGCTCACACTTTGATCGCTGGCCAGGCCCAGGGACTGTACCCATGCACGAATTTTGTGCACCAGGCCTCTAGTGTTTTTCATAATTATCATGCTATAAAAACACTTATCATTGCACTATTAATATGTGTATATATTACTGTATGTTTGTGATGTGCGTGCACAGAGATGGTCCCCAATTTATAATGATTCAACTTAAATGGTCTAACTTATTATCTTTCAACTTTGCAATGGTACAAAACTGAAATGCATTCAGTAGAAACCATAATTGAAATTTTTAATTTTGATATTTTCCTGGTTACAACTAATACTATTTATTGTTTTACATAATTTTACTCATCTGTAAGCTAATGTAAGTGTTCTGAGCACACTTACAGTAGGCTAGACTAAGTTATGATATTTGGTAGGTTAGGTATAACAAAAGCATTTTTTACACTATTTTCAACTCACAATGGGTTTATTGGGACATACCAGTAAATCCCATCGTAAGAAGCATCTGTGTATATATTTAGCTTAGTATAATACCCTTAATTTAATATTCTTTGTTTTCCAAGATGATTTGTTTTTAATTGCAAATATAAAATGTAAATTAATTTCACCAAGAAAATTGAAACTTTAACCCCTAATCCTTGTGTAATCATTTTCATTTGACTCAATTTTTTGCACCTAGAAAATTTTGGTTAGTGAAAAGTGGAATGAAAGAGGGTATATAAAGAGTAATTTAGGGCTTATTTAATTTGCTGTTCCCCAAAATAATAATTTTGCATTGGGTGAAACAGTGCTAACTCTAAATTAGTACATTTTATAAATGAATGGTATTTTAAAAACCTAAAACTATGAGCAAGTGTAATCTAAATGTTTACAGCAAACAAATAATCATTTTAAAAGCTTAATTAAAAAAATCAACAATAAAAAAAATCAACAATCCTATATAATAAAAGGCTAATATGCAAATTGACCAAACAGTGGAACAACCGGTCGCTATGACACATACTGACCACCAGAGGATAGATTCTCAATGCAAGAGCTGCCCCCTTGTGGTTAGTGTGCGCCGCTCAGCCAGAAGCTGGGCTAATGGTTGGCTCCCGGACTGCAAGAGGGTGCAGGCCGGGCTGAGGGACCCCCCCCCCGCCCCCCTGCACGAATTTTGTGCACCGGGCCTCTAGTAAAATATAATGCCATACTTTTCCTCTCTACAGCCTGTAGCCGCTGGAGTATAGCATACTGCATAGTCGATACATTCTTCTGGATTCAGCACAAATTTCTTGATTCCACTAAGGGCAGGACTTGATAACAGCACTTCTATTTGAAGAGTTATCTCTTTGGCATTACGGAGAGGTATTTCAAAACAAGTGGTCTCCTAGAATTACAGCATAAATATAATCAGCTCTTAGTGTCAGCATAGAGTCACTGTTCTATGGAAGCAAATACAAAGAAAATTTTGATACAATATAAGGCCATTTGTTTTCTTTTTCTCCTTGGTCCAGTACTGAATGCATCCCATTTGCTTTTAATCTTTTGTTTTCCTTAATTAGTCTTGGTAAATGCTAACATTATTTTTTCAGTAACTACTCCAAAAGATCTGTTTAGCTAAATGCTAAGGGCACTGCAAAATTACATTTAAAAAATATTTTTCCTCAGTACCATTATTAATATGAGGTCTACTTGTCTATTTCCTCTAGCTGTAGTACTCAAGTGTCAGCAATGCAATAGAATCACCTGTAGCAGTTGCTAAAGTACAGATTATTGGTCCTACTACACAGATTCTGATTCAGTAGATCTTGGATGGAGACTTAAAACTTATATTTCTAAAACATTGTGGCTGCTGCTGCTGATCTAGAGGACATACTTTAAGTAGCTCTGCACATTAAAATCACGCAGTAAGGACATTCTGAACTAAGAAGTCAAATTATACTGATGATATGACCACCTTCCTGTTTAGATTCCTTTCTTCTGTTTTGGTTTCTCTTGTCCTGACCTCCTGGCTACACACTCAGCCATGGAAGGCACTCTTCAAGTTCTAAGACATTTCCTGGTCTTCATTCTGACCCTCCATTCTAGCTAATAACTTATATTTCATCCCATGACAGCCACGATTTCCACTACAGTAAAAGCCATTAATTGAAGCAAATGTGTTAAAGGTGAATAATAGATAGGATATATCTCAGCTGTCTAGAATGCCTTAACCTAATAAAAAGGAGGATGTTGGACATTTCAGTCACAATTTAAAAATTGGTAATGGGGCTTGACTGGTGTGGCCCAGTGGTTGAGTGTCAACCTATGAACCAGGAGGTCACGGTTCAGTTCCCAGTCGGGCACATGCCCAGGTTGCAGGCTCCATCCACAGTAGGGGGAATGCAGGAGGCAGCCAATTGATGATTCTCATCATTGATGTTCCTATCTCTCTCTCCATGTCCCTTTCTCTCTCTGAAAATAAATAAAACATATTTTTAAAAATTGGTAATGGATGTACTTTAGGACATGGAGCTATTTTGAAATTTATCATGTCACATTACAGGAGTGACCACAAAAACCTAATACTAAGCTGATGGGAGGCAGGTGTTGATGGGGAGAGAGTTAGTTATTCACAAAACATATCTTTAAGATAGACATTGCAGCTTTGTCCATGGAGCAAACATTTGCTTGATTACCTCTATATAAACAAATGAGTGGATAAACATTACATTCACACACTTTCTGGTAGGAAAAATTTAATTCACTGAGTATTTGCACTGAAAACTTCATACTTCCTACTCTCAATAGGTCTGAGAAAATAAAGACTATGTTTTGGCTCATAAAAGTTTAATTGTGTCAATAGCAATTCAATATGCACTAATAGAAAGTATTTTTTTTACCATATCCTCTCCCAGAAGAGAATCATAAATTCATTATGAAGAAATTATTTCTGAGGTCCAAAACACACAAGTAAGGTATACTATTGAGGAAATCTTCAATTTTAATTTTTCTCAATTTTAAAACATTAAAGTCAATAAATAAACTATTCCTAAGGGTATTCTGAAATGTACCATGTAATTTGGAGGAAGTGATAACTCTAATCTGTCTCAGTAATTTTCCTAAATTAAAAATTCAGTGCCAACAGTTCAGAACTCAGATAAACAAAGTCTAATTACAAATTAGAAGCATCATTGTCATTCCTCTGCTACTGCCACCTATATGTCACTGTACCTACTGAAGTCATGCCTTCCACCCCCCCCCATCTCCAATTCTCTGCCACTCAATCTGAGACACAAAGATTGAAGAGGTGGATGCTATTGCCTAATGCCAGATAGCGGGTAACGTGGGGGTGAGGATGCATTGGTAGGCACTAAGGAGTTGGTAAAAACCCGAAAATTCCTGTAGTGTCTGAAGATTTGTTCACATGTATTCTGACATTTCATATAACCTTGTGGTGGGGTGGCGGGGAGAGGGGAGTATGAAATGCAGTGACAATAGAAGGATATCTAATTATAAGGACCAATCCCTAGGAAGGACATTCCTACTTAGTTGTTTAACATAGGTTATAGGTTTTATCTATCTATCTATCTATCTATCTATCTATCTATCTATCTATCTATCTATCATCTATAAGAAGGCTAAAATTTTAAACTAAAACATTATTGAAAAAGGTTGCTAACTCACATGTTTTATGTTAATGTTTTTATATGTGACACAACGTGGATTAACTGTGCTTTTCACTATGCTCCTCTCTTACTAGCTTGTGGAGATATTTCTAGGTCTCACCATTAACAATAGAGTGAATTTAAATGAAGGTTATTACAGAATGAAAAATTAAGTAAAGAAAGATTCACATAATTATCACCAACTACAGAGCAAATATTATGAAGGCTACGACTGATCTAAAACTTAAAGCATATAAAATTTTGTTCACATACTAAAGTTTTGTTTTCAAAAAATATAGCCCATTGCTATACTGGAATTATTGAGCATCAATGGGAAGATAGTGGATTACTCTCATCATTCTCCCACAGCCAAACTATATGACATACATGAAATTTTTGAGTTAAAAAAAATGCAACAGCAGATATTACATGTTAAAATTTCCAAAAGAAATTCTAAATACTTTACTCCAACAGAAAATGAACTACCAGCAACCAATTATTGTTTATTGTGAGTATGACTTTTGGAACCTGCTGTAAGAAGTAAACAAATTTATGTGCCTCAGAGTCTAAATATTTCTTACACAAACCCTATTTTAGAGAGATTCTAACCATACATTCATCTTTAGGGAAGATGTGGAAATTGGGTTTAATGTAACAAAAGTTGAGAAGCAAATAGAAAATTAGAGATGGCTTAGTATCTTGAAAGCTCCATTGCCACATCTGATGATTTAAGGTTTAAGTTAAATATTACTCAGAAGTTTAGCAAAAACAGCAACTGTAGTCAAAACTACTAGGGAACAATATATAGATGAGGACGATAGTTTTAATGTACTTCAGAAAGTATTTAGAAAATATCTTCTTCAAGAAGTGCAGACAAAGTTTATTTGATGGGATTATCTCTCTATATAAAAGCCTAATATGGAAAGTGTCCGACTGTTCATTTGAACATCCGACCAGTTGCTATGATGCACACTGACCACCAGGGGCAGATGCTCCAACTGGTAGGTTAGCTTGCTGTTGGGGTCTAGCGGATTGGGACTGGACAAGATGGGCCAGATGCGCCCTAGAGCCCTCCTGTGATCGTGCACCGGTGGGTTCCCTCGGCCTGGTCTGCACCCTCTCGCAATTCAGGACCCCTTAGGGAATGTTGGAGAGCCAGTTTCGGCCCGATCCCCACAGGCCAGGCCAAGGGACCCCACTGGTGCATGAATTCGTGCACCAGGCCTCTAGTTTAAAATAACCCATATCATCTCTACCAACTAAATCTTCATGTTCATGAATTAATAACTCATACATTTAAAAAAATATATATAGATATGTATTTTTATTGAATTCAGAGAGGAGGGGAGAGAGAGAGAAACATCAATGATGAGAGAGAATCATTAATTGGCTGCCTCCTACATGGCCCCTGCCTCCTACATGGCCCCCACTGGGGATCGAGCCCACAGCCTAGGCATGTGCCCTGACTGGGAATCGAACAGTGACCTCCTGGTTCATAGGTCAACACTCAACCACTGAGACATGCTGGTGGGGCAATAACTCATACATTTTTACCTTAGGCAATTACTATTAGAAAGGTGGCAAAGCTTAATACCTTGGCAACACTATCACTGTTATTAGTAGTTTATGTGGACAGAGTTAGTGGAAAAAGACTCCACCTCACCAAACTCAGTTGAAAGTGAACATTTAATTAGTACAGAATACCTGTCTATAGTGAGAAAAAGAGCAATGTAGCAGCTGATGGTGCTAAGTTTTGCCCCCGCATTGTAATATAAAACTACTCAATAGAATGGGGGCTCAAAACTTGCATTTTCATGTAGACCTTGAGAGGAAATTATTTCATTGTCTTTCTGAAATAACTATGCCAAATATTCACATAAAAACAATATTATAACTGATAATAATCTGAAATATTATACAAATAAGAAGAGGTATTGGTACCCTACTGTGGTATTAAATAATAATAATGGAATTATTGCCTGGGGAGGGGGAAGTCCCTTATGGAAAATTGAAAAGGGCCCATTTGAAAGTACATTATTCATGAAAGCAATATATTCCTCAATGGGTATATATAAATCTTAATTTTTAAAATGAAAACAGACCTAGCTGGTTTGGCTCAGTGGATAGAGCGTTGACCTGTGGACCAAAGGGTCCTGGGTTTGATTCTGGTCAAGGGCATGTACCTTTGTTGCAGGCTCCTTCCCCACCCAGGCAGTGGTCAGGGGAGTGCGAGAGGCAACCAATCTATGTGTCTCTTTCACATCACTGTTTCTCTCTGTCTTTCCCTCTCTCTTCCACTCTTCCTAAAAATCAATGGAAAAATATCCTCAGATGATGATTATATAAAAACACCAAAAAAAAAACAACCCCAGAATAATGAAAACATACTTTATGTGCATTAAAAGAGACAGGTGATGGTTTATTTTTGCTTTTTGCTCAGTCTTCTTACCTATCCATATAAAGTACCGTGACGGTATGTGTTTCTCAACCTGTGTGACAATCTTCACCTTGAGAAGTTGAGAATTATAAAAATCTCAATTTCTACCAGTATTTTCTTGAAGGATTAATAACTCTTTCCAAAAAAGGACACTTTATATACCATTTCATAAGATGCAACAGTTGGTTGTTATTTTAGAATTGCATCTATATTTGCTAGTTTGTGTTGCATATTTCTACTCCTCTCTATCCCTATTTTAAACATATGGTTAATAAGGAAGCCAATGTCTCCCCCTTTTTGAGGTACCACCTCATGGTTCCAATTTCTCCTGGTCTCATTTTTAGAGTATTTTTTCTCCTGTGTTCTGAGAAAGAGATGACTTTTAATCTAGTAACAATTTTCCACAGCAAGTGGTTTCACAGTTAAAATTATATCATTTAAAAATAACCTTTAAGATTTTATTCTGCAGTGATAATAGGGTCACAGATATTGGATATTTTCATTAAGTGAAATGATCCCAACATCATCACATTAAATGATTTTCCACTTAGAAGAAACTCCATTTGCAATCTATACTTGAGTACATTTCAACAGTTTAATCATCCATTTTCTTTGCCTCAGTAGAAATTTACCCAGAAATCAGATGGACAAATAATTGATTTGTAGACTAAAACTGTTTTAAATCTTTCCTTGTTTTATATTTGATGGAGCAAAAGTTCAAGATTCTAAATAATCAATTGTACAAAAAAATCTATCTTCACATTTAAAAATAAAAATAATCTTTATCACGGATTTAAGTATTTGAGTAATAACAATAAGGAAATTAAATGGAATGAAAACATGATTAACAGCAATTAATACTGTCTTCGTGTTTCATTTAAACCAAGACTCTCAATATTTGACTCTTAAGTAATCCTGGACATGGAGTTAATAACACTTCAATAATTCACATAAAACAAATCCTATTCTTAGTCACTATTACTTAAAACCATAAATCTATGTCTGTTGTTCCAAATATTTTTCTTCCTATTGTAAAACCAGGAAGAATTAGTATTGAAAAAGTCTGAAGACACACTGCTGCTTTTATCAGACATGTGAGGGCAAGCATAAAGGCGAAGGTTAAGTTTGCTCTAGTAACTCTTAAATCATTCAGGTAGAATGCTAATCAGTGCAGCCACTATAAGATATCATAGAACTAAAAAAATCTTTTCCATAAGCTTTCAAGGTACACTTTACTGGATTTAAAAATAAAATTCCTAAAAAATGAATAATTTATCCAAACATGAGTATTAATAATGTTGGGTTTTTTCCCAAGGACAGCAATTTAAGTTTACAATCAAAAGATCATCTGCAAAAAGGCAAAATCTATGACCATTTAATGGGCTCTTACCATAGCAACACATTTAATTTCAATAATGTTTACAGGTTTCCCAGGATAGATATGGATCTCAAGATTATACCAGACTTGTATAGTGCTATCATCATCATCTGGAAAAAAAAATTCATTTCTTAATATAGGTTTCAGAACACCATACTTAACATAAAGTTTGAGAAACATGAACAGATATCATTTTCAAACTTTTTTGGATGGGCTCATTTGTCAATTCATCACTGTATGTGAGTGCTAAGGGAAGCCCTATCCTGCAAAGTCTTTCCCCTTTTAGCTCATGTATATTTTATGGATTTTTCCAATGTTTTAGTCCACAATGAATTTGCAGAGAAAATAGTTCTGAAAAGAAAGATGTCTATAACTAAGAAGACATTCTAAGCAAATTTCAAGCATACACTATCATTTTTTCAATATAATCACATTGTTGTACATTATATCTCCAGAACTTACTACTCATTTTGCATAACTGAAACAAAATATACTACTGAGCAATCAGTAAGAAAGAGACCCACGTTGTTATAGGCAATAGAAGGTTAATCCTGTCTGAGTCATGATATGGGAAAGCCTATCTGAAGAATTGAACATGTCATCATGCAGTTTAGATTTTTAAAATTAGATAGCATTCCATTGGAGTTCATTACCATGACATGATAGTATTCTGATTTTCTTTCAAACTCCTCTAAACACTTTTATCTGGTTTTCCTTCACGGTTCTTGTGCCTTAGATTTTGATAAGGGCTTAACTTGTAGCATAATCCATCTACAACAGGTATCTGCTCTTTGCCTCACCTGAATGATTCCTACTGAAGAATCCCTAAACTTTTACAACCCGTTTTATTATTTTTTCCACCATGTCCAGCTCCCAATATTCAACAGCTGACTAAATATTTCCATGTAAATGGTTTACTGTCACATCAAAATCAGAAAACACAAAACTGTTCTAAGCATTATAATCTCCCAAGTTATTTCTTCTTGTTGAGTTTAACTAAACTACCTCACAAGATTACTGCCTCCACTTCCATTTTGTGTGGCCTAGCAGCCTGCAGGAACCTTGAAGCAACACTAGCCCCTCTCCAAAGTGCATAACCTAGAAAGCAGCCCAGCAGAGTCACAAGAAAATATAAGTTCATAATATCACTCACACAACCACACTTGGTCTAAGTACCTCTCCAACCTCCCAGGGCTGTCCCCTTGTGTGCCCCTTAGATAAGACCCCTAGGAAGCTTACCAAAACCCCACTGTTTTTGGTTTGAATTGACCAAACTGGCCTTAGCCTGTGAACCACAAAACATTCCATTCAAAAACCCTAATAAAGGCATGTACCCAGGTCCTTCCTCTCTTCCTGCCTAGATCTCACCTTGTAGACCCTGGAGGCAGCTAGAGTACCTCCTCCAGGACCTGTGAGTAACAAACTTCTCTATTTCACTTTCCCTTGCAGTCTTTTAAACCTTGACTCACTACCATCTGACACTCTAGGGCACTATTTAACAAATGTTAATTTAACAAAATCAAGATACTTCTAAATTTCTATCTGAATATTTCTCTATTCACCAATATAACAAACCTTGTTATTTTTTGAAATCAATCCTCTCTTGCTATCTCCTTTGTCAAATAATACTAGTTTCTAAAATGTTTTCCATCTTCAGTGGTATTTCTCTATCCACATCACTACAATAAAATACATTGTTCTCTTCACTTCAAACACCATTTGCTGTTGCAATGACCTAACTGACTCCAACTGCTTTTCCCTTTCCAAGGTATTTTGAATACTGACTAAATGTCACTTTTAATCCATGTATCCTGTGATGGTTAAGTGTGTGTGTTGATTTGGATGGGCTATAGTGTCCAGTTGTTTGGTTACATACCAGTGTAGATGCTGCTGTGAAAGTTTTTTTTTTTATGTGATGATAACTCATATCAATAGACTTTGAGTAAAGCAGATTATCCTGCATAACATGGGTGGGCCTCCTCCCAAAGCAAAAACTAAGGTTAGCTGAAGAAGAAACAATTCTTAGTTAAGACTGGAACATGGAAAACCTGCCTGAGCTTGTAGCCATCTGATTTGCCGGGTATGCTTTGGACACAATACTATAGTAGCAACTCTTACCTAATTTTCTAGGTAAGAAAGGCTTGCCCTACTGATGTTGGAATTGCCAGTCCCCACAAACATGTTAGCCAATTCCTTAAAATACCACTATTTATAATACATTACATTATATTAGAATATTATGGTAGTATCTGTTTCTCTGAAGAATCTGACTAAATACAAATTCATTTAATAAAGATTTCTTCTTTGGGATAAGTTTGTATCAACAACTTTGCTCCTGATGATCCAGTTTTCTCTAATGGCCTCCTATGTCCCTGCTTCTTACACATAACAAAACTCATTCCCCCATTCTCCAGGAATTTTCCTCTGTCTATTCCCACACTCCACCATCTCATTTTCCCTTGAATTCCTACTAAAAAGATATGATGTTTATTAACATGAAAATAAAATTTTATAAAATAGGAAGGAAAAACAATAGCATTTGCTTTCTTTTGCATGAAGAAAGACTATCACACCCTATGTTGAAGAAAATCATATTACATTGTTAAAATAATATACTCATTAATATTTTATCAGAAATTAATTGCTGTTTTTGTTTAATAACATGAATGTATATGAATTTTTTCACTTATGAAAGAGTAGGCAGCCTTCAAGCTGAAGGGTTATACTCTATTATGGTTAACAGCAAAACAAATCCAGAAATTAAACTACATACATTTAATATTAAAATAATACAATAAAAGTCTGATAAATATGTGCAACACATTTATATATGAATTATGAATGTAAAGTATCTACTCATAAACCAGTTTATGAATGCTGGTCATGAAACTCTTCATAATAATAAATTTACCTAAGCCTGCCGTATCAAGCTTGATGGATTTTTCTGACAATTTCTTAAAAAAAGATCTTCCATCCTGATGTTGAATTTCATGTTGACCTTGATCTTCATCTGAGTCTTTCTCAAAATCACCATCTTGACTGTTTTCAATGGAAAATGAAAGTTTACCTACAACACATAGGTACAAAATTTCAGATTAACCAGGGATTAGTTTTCTAAAATGAAAGGTCGGTTTCAGATATTAAAGTTGCTCTAGCTTGAAACTAATAACAACAAAGCCAAACATAAATTCTAGATTTTAGTATCAGAATTAAATCTGATGGTGGTACAGAACAATTTAGTGAATTCAAGAAAATGTTCTCAAAATCTCCATTAAAATTATATTTTAAACTAGGGGCCCGGTGCACAAAAATTTGTGCACTCAGGGGGGGAAGGGGGGGTCCCTCAGCCCGGCCTGTGCCCTCTCGCAGTCTGGTACCCCTCGGGAGATAACGACCTGCTGGCTTAGGCCTGCTCCCGGGTGGCAGAGGGCAGGCCCAATCCCTAAGTG